CCGAGTGCAGTTTTGTCACCTTCACATACCTGCAGACCTGCACAGAGAAGCAAGTTCTTCTTCTTTCAGTTAGCATTGCATGATTGAGCAGATGCATATCATTGGGTCTATGTAGCCAGCTCAGGCTGCAAGATAAAAAAAATGGTGCTCATCACATGACAAACTTTCCAACAGGACAGTTGGCTTTTCCTTAACACAGGGCCCAGGTCAATGGGACCCTAGCAAAGATTCTGCATCTCAGATTACAAGTTCCCAGACATTCCTAATGGCAGTTTTATAGTAAAACTCAGGACACCTATATACTTGCACTAATAATTAGATCCATTTACATGACTGTATCCCCTAAAAAAACATATGTACATATTTACAAATTATTGCAAGTACAGTACTGCAATTGTACTGCATTTACATAATACATAGTATTGCAATTTACATATGTCTTGGTATGTTCTCCTGTTCCCCCTCCTGTTTGGTGCTAACTAGTACAGTCCCCATCTAGAAACGCCCTGCCTCTCACTCTACTGTACTGTTAATTTCACTTTCCTAGCAGAGACGGGGTTTAAAAAAAAGCATTGACTTCAAGTTCTTACACTTCAAAACACTGAAAAAACATCCTTTGTATTGCACTTATCTGAAGTAAAATTGTTTTGGATTCAACATCTGTGTCTTATTGAAGAGTTAAGCTGCCTGGGATTTTGCCAAGTTAGCAAGTGGGCATATTATCTGTGTAGACTGGGTCTAAGGAGGTATATGATTGCATATATTGGCATTTAAAACAGAGCAGAGGTCCAGGACCTGGCTTTGGTGTAGAACAAGTATGCAAATTAGTTTATCTTTAAAGCAAATTTGTACTGAGAGAATTATATATATTATATATATATTGTATATCAGTTATACTCACAGATATCAAATATATAATCACTTATACTAACAGATATAACATATATAATCACTTATACTTACAGATATTATATATATCACAGACTTTGCAAACTTAGAAAGAGACCTGTGCTATTATTCCATAGAGAAATACAACACTAAAAGTGAAATAACGCATAAAATATGTTGTTTATTTAGCCACGTAGACGGAAAAGACTTTATGGCTGTATGTCTGCTGTTTGGACAAATCTTGTGATTATAGTAGATATTTCAAATAATTTTACGCCTGCAAAATAAAAGAAAACTTTGTTGACTCGATTATCTTCAGATTTTCTGAGCCTCATGTAAACAACATTAAATGTTACAGGAAAAGTATCTTACCTTCAATTTGCTTTTTCTAATGTAGTTTTAAAATAAGTGAATTAGGTTTCTGCAACGTCGTTAGTTGATTTAGCTATTTCTATGAATCTTGCTCCCTCTTGTGGTTACAACATACCATGTCTCCTCATATAGTATTCGCTTTAAACATTAAACAATGATAGCTTTATTTTCTTTCTTTATGGTTTCAATAGAGGAGTTGCCAGTTCAAACCAACCGTGTAAAGCAAAACCGGCAGGGGGGATTCCTTGAATGTAAGACAGGCCAGCCTATCCAGCTAAGTATTTTATGGTCAAAAGACACATGACTGGGTAGTGAATTTATGATGCCACCCCACTGGTATTTACCCAACAGAGAAAAGCAATAAATTCGTGCAATAACCTGACGTTGTTCACACTACTTTGTGAGATTGACACCAAAGACTAATGTTATGATTGTATTCATTTAAAATTAAAAACAACAAATCTTCAAAAAGTTGGCAAAAGTCTGTGGAGAGTCTATTTTCAATAGTCACATCCCTTTAGGGGCACAAAGTGGCTCCATACTACAAGAGACATTATTAGACTTATGCAAAGGGAGATCAGTTGTCAGGTTCGTTCATTATGATTCACATTTCTTTTGGTCTTGGATCTTTTCTTTAGGTCTTGGACCTTTCCTTTAGCTTTGATCCTTCTGTAGCGCTTTTTCCCAGAGTCTATCAAATTCACCCGCCATGACCAATAAAGAGATTATGTAAATAAGAAGCTTTCCAAACTCTTTACTGAGATCTCACAAACTCCCATCCATGCCACACGGATCAAGAGACTTGAAACACCAAATAGACGCTGCCTAGCATATTGGCTAAGTGGCTAACATGCTTGCCTTGAAGCTCTGTGCCCTGGGTTTAGATCTCATCTAGGACACTATCTGCATTGAGAGTCTGTGTTGGTTTCCTCCAGCAATCCAACAGCATACTAGTAAGTTGATTGGCTCCCTACAGACATAGGTCCAAGAGAGCAGCAACAGACATTTCCGCTGTAAGTCCTTAACATGAATTACCAGTAGGTAGTGTTTCTTGGCAACAAAGACTTGACTATGAATTTAGAAAGTGGTGAAAAGTAAAAATAAACTCTACCTACCTGCATAAAATTCAACTTTGAGCGTGGCTTCATGCTTTCCAAAGTTTAGACTTCTAAGTTAGTGTTTTGGTACACAGGGTGCATTGGCATCTAAAAAAGGGTTTAGATAAATAAGAACAGATCCCTTTGGTCCTTTATTTTAATTTCAATAAGTTTTTATTGAGCATTTTCAGCGGTACAAAGAAAAGGTATTCAATATTGAACAACAATTCAGGTCTATTCAAGACCATAAGGACAAACCATAGGAAGAAAGATATATGTGGTGAGCCACTACAATCGGAGCTACCAACCCGTGTGGAAGTCTAGAGAAGGTCCAGGGACCTGACCATTTTGAGCTATGCGTAGATTCGTAGCACAGAGTCATGGGGGAGGTGGGTTATGCCGAGACTATAGGAACCACGGGCGCCATTTCTTTGTGAAGCCTGTCATTGTGTCGTTGCGGATTGCGAGCACCCGTTCGTATTCGCAGTGTAGCCTCAGTACCTGTAGGGTCTCTGAGACATTAGATGCTTGCAAACCCTTCCGATGTCTTGCAATTGTTAATTTGGCCGCTAGGAGGATGTGAATCACCAGCGCTCTGAGGTGGGTAGGGTATTGGTCTGTACCTAAGTGAAGGAGAGCCGGGTGGGGCTTGGGAGCAGAAAGGAAGCCAGTCACTGCAGATATTATTTGAAAGATCCCCCTCCAAAAGCGGGTAAGGGGTTTGCAGGTCCAGTAGGTGTGTAGCAGTGTGCCCGTAAGTCCACAGCCTCTCCAGCACTCCACAGAGGAAGCCGCAGACACCTTGGCTAAGCGGGAGGGTGTCAGATACCATATGAGCAAGGTTTTCTGAGGCAATTCCAACATGTCTACACACCTAGAAGCCCTCCAGGTCTCTCTGAAAGAGAGCAGCCACTGATCCTCAGAGAATGTGGCTCCCATATCCCGCTCCTAAGTCTTGATGGGAGAGGTTTTCTCAAAATTTTGCTTGTTGTGGAGGAGTAGATAGAAAAGCGAGATGCCTTTATTTTGGGGGGCGGTGGATGTGAAGTAGGATATTGCTTTAAAGGGGAGTTTGATGTGAAGATTTGTCTTGTAGCTGAGAAGATGGGCTATTTGCGATAGTATTCTCCCTGAGGGAGTTGGAATTGGGGAGAGATCTCCTGGAATTTTTTAAGCAACCCCCCCTCCGTAATGTCGGATAGGTAGGTTATACCTCTATCTCTCCAGGTTTGTAAAGAAAGATTTGGTATCAGAAGTTCCAACGAGGACACTGGTACTGGGACAGTTTTCAGCGGGACATGGGGGAAGACGGAGTCGATTAGTACTCTCCAGGCTCCCACTGATGCAAGGATGGGGGGTGATAGATTTTGTATGGGAGCGGATTCCCAGGCACGGGACATTAGGTAACGAAGCAGGTCGTTACCGGGGACCATGTCGCTTTCTATGTCTAACCAATGTTTATCGGTGGGTGGAGTGAACCAACTTTTGAGGTGAGTCAATAGTGACACTGACCTGTGTTTGATAAGTAGCGAATGTGAACTTCTAGCTCTCTTGCCCTGCCACACAAAGTCTTTGAGGCAGGACTGTAGGGCTCTCAAGTACCATAGGGGGATTACGATAGGCAATGTACGAAAGAGATATAAGAGTTGGGGCAGGTAAATCATCTTAAAAGATGCCAGTCTCACGGTTGGTTCTTTATTTTAATGACTGAGCTCCCTCTAGTATATGGCAGCCATCACTGGAGTGGATGTATTCTGGAAAGTACATGATTTACTAAAGTTTTGGAGCAAGTGGAGCAAAAAAAACAATATTTATGATCACAGTAGCCACAAAATAATATGTTTGGAGACTGTTTCTACAGAGGTGCCTCATTTGATAAATGATAGTTTTCAGGATTATACCTTCCCGAAGACCATAACATTTTAGAGAATAACCCCTTCATGAGCATGGAATTATCCCCTGTAATACTTTTGTGATAAATATTCCTGATATCAGCAATGAAATCAAACGTATGCATTAATCCTTGAAAACCATAGAGTCAGTAAACTTTTACAGGTTTCACTGACACTTTCTAAGGGCTGTACACTCACACAAAGTAAAGCAGAAATGAGCACTGTAATTAGACACTCATGAGTTCTAGCAATGGCCTGACGTACGTAATTATTATGCTGTGCCTTTGTATCATTTAATATTTTATCACAACATAAATATGTGGCTTCTATTCTTCAACCTCTCATTCTACATTCATTCCCAAGTATATCTGTTCATGGAATGATCTGCATGCATGGCTTTAATTAAAATTATCTTTATGCTAATTAAATATAATATGAATAAAGAAATTCACTAAGTTAAACAAGCACAATTAAAATCTGAAATATGTACTAACTGAACATTGTTAGTGTAGCCCGTAATTGCCATGCCTTCCAAAGAGACATAATTAATTGTGCTTCAAAAATCCTGTTTTCTTATTTCAATTTGTTGTTGTGTTCACAAACAAATTCTTCTAATTCTTTATGGTCTAAATTAGGACTTTTATATTAATTAAGACTGAGACGGTTTAAGAATGTCCTTGTTTGCAGGTGCTCTTTGTTTAAAGCCTATATATAATGAAGGAGACCCAGTAGCCACCTCTCTAAATGAGCTGAATGCACTTGAAGCTAGACATATTGACTATCAGAACAACTATGCTTTTCTCTCTGTGCACCTTCCTCACTCTTTTCGCCTTTACCACCTGCTTTGATGAGACTACAGCAACTAATCTAGAAAGTCAAGAGAAATACGATGACTTGTTTGAGGTAAGTCTATTTTGTGACTGCATTTTGTACATAGCTAAGTATATGTGGCTTGGTGTCTTATGTAAGACACCAAGCTACATATACTTCATATCTTATATAAGACACCAAGCCTGGGGGTCACTATGTTTGTGCCACTTGACTGAGTGATTATTGCAATATGGATTCCTCGAGAGTTTCAGCCAAAAAAGAAGAAGGGTTAAAATGGAATTATTGGCAAACTATAAAACAACAAATATAATACAGCCTTTTACAAGAGCTAACACATCAGTTTCAGTTTTTCTGAGGCCCCCTGTAACTTTTTTTTATTACCTGTTGATCCTGCCAGTAGATGCATTAATTTTCCACATCCTGTTTGATCTGCAGGGTAGTTTTAGATGGACATGTAGTTTTAAATGGACTTTAAAGTGGAACACCAACTCAGCTTTTTTTATTTTATTTGGATTACCCCCTCCCCATTTAAAAGAATTCCCATTTTCTACTTAACCTCCCCATGCTCCAGCAGTGTTCCCAGCTTCTTCCTCAGCCCTCTTTGAGCAAAACAGTCATGTCATCCTGCCCTTTCCCTGTGATCAATCAATCAATTACTATCAATTATATTAAATAGGGCTAGAATAAATATTAGAGTATAGTTCAGCTAATTTGCATATTGTCTGCCTTACCATCTTAAAATCTCCTTATATTAATCTTAAAATCTGTGCTTTAAGATGCTGGTTTAGAATAGAGTTCTTCTTTAAAGTGATTCTGTGTTTAAACAAAAAAGATAATATGCTAGCGAGTATAAAATGCAGGTACCTAGAGGTGCCTGTATATGCCTTGAGCAGCACACAGTCCTCACTGACTACCAGCCCATTCTAAACTCCACAGATTAATATACTTTCTGGCTGTGTCAAAGTTGCAGCTCTCAAGAGTCAAAAGGACCACTGTTTTTGGTTTGAAGGTGGGCATAGACAACAGAGGTAGGTTTGGATATATATTTTCTATACATGAGATTTTCCAGTTAAGACAAAGATAACTGCATGTTAAGTGTTTTTGTACTTTTTGTAAATTGTACAGTTTTGTAAATTGTACAGATATTGCAGGGAGCGAACAAAGATTTGCTTCGTAGTAACTGCAAAATTGTCTTTGAGATGCTCTAAGGAAAGGAAAACTCCCACTATATATAAATGGGAAAGGTCTGTTATATCCTTATTAGACCACCTTATTAGACCACCATGCAATCTAGATGACGATTTAGTTCCTATAATATTAGGTTGTTTCCAAAAGGGGTTCTGGAAGAGAAGATCCTTGTGTACGAGAAGCAACTTCAGCCCTGACCTTTGCTGAAAAATGATTGCATTCCTTAAGTGGTGTGCAATATAAACAATCAATAAGTTTAGTCCTAAAGCAATATACTGTATGTCTATCAACAGAACCGTGGGGGGCCAAGGGGTTCCCAGGGTGCAGCCAGTCAAATACATGGCAGTTGGGATGCTAGAAAATAAATTAAAAAAATGTGGCTAAGGCAAAGCACCGTCTGGTACAGTAAAATCAACTGAATCTGTTATTTGAAACCTTTTTCTGGGAAGTAGGTTAGGGATGGTTTTAACATATTGAGGAGTTTTGGTCCATATCTGTAGCCTGTAGTCTTTTTGTGTAAGAAGTGGATTAATGTTAACAAGAATAAATACAGTTGTTATGCACTTATTCTCCTAAATATTTGAATATATCTGTCCAAAGGAGTTGGTTACATGGTTGGAAAGAGACACCCAACCAAACCTCTCATTCTCCATCAGCAGAGCATTAATGATTTTTCATAATTGTCTAAATATATAAATGTGTCCTCAGTGTACAGAGTGACTTTTTCCTACAGAGAGGTCCAACGTAAGCCCTTAATTACTAGAGATTGTCTCAGCGAGGACAGCTTCAAAAGTGTCCCAGCAGGAGGCACTACAGTAACGTGCAGAGTTTAATTGCAATAATCCCCCATATCTTTCCTTACCCCATTGTTTACAGTCTTCTGACATAACCATAAGGGATATAATTTGCCGTTTCTAAGGTTTATGTCCTAAAAGAAGAGATAGATTTATTGAGGAATGATCAGAAAGAGACTTGGTGATATAGCAGAAGGGGATTTCAAGCACCTAGGACATTATGTTTGGGTAAGCTATAACCAAATCAATCCTAGATAGGGTCATACATGATTTAAGCAAGAAAATTGCCTGGAATTGGGGTATTTCCTTCCCCATATATTTCAATAACCATATGCTTTATACCTTTGAAGAAAAAAGGATGCCTCCAACTGCAGGGGTCTGAGTCTATCAAGTTTAAGGTCCTTCACAGAATTAAAATCTCCAGTGATAATAAAACAGCATGCTGGAAATTGTAAGATCTTATTACTCAGCTTGGGAAAAATATAAGTATTTACAGGCAGAGGTACATACAGTATATTACCACCAACAACATGGGAGTGTTGTGATTAAGACAATGTAGAATAACATAAGGACTCTGGCAGCTGGAAGCCATTCTAAGGCACTCAAAAGGAAACTGTTTGTGAATAAGTATGGCAACACCCCTTGCATATTTGGAATATGTAGAGTAAAAAACCCCGGTAAACATATATGCCCTTTAACATGTGGAATTTAGGCTACAATATTATAATTAGTACACATAGCTTGAACTCGATGGACCTGCGTCTTTATTGAACCTTACCTACTATGTTACTAATTATGTATTATGACTGTCAATGAACTAGGTAATTCCAAGGTTCCCCAAACAAGTGTAAAGCAGAAAAAAATAATAGACTATGTTGAGGGAAATCAAAACCATTGCTATACACACATACACTATATTGCCAAATGTATTGGGACGCCTGCCTTTACACGCACATGAACTTTAATGGCATCCCAGTCTTAGTCCGTAGGGTTCAATATTGAGTTGGCCCGCCCTTTGTAGCTATAACAGCTTCAACTCTTCTGGGAGGCTGTCCACAAGGTTTTGGAGTGTGTCTTTGGGAATGTTTGATCATTCTTCCAGAAGCGCATTTGTGAGGTCAGGTACCGATGTTGGACGAGAAGGCCGGGCTCGCAGTCTCCGCTCTAATTCATCCCAGGACTCTGTGCAGGCCAGTCAAGTTCCTCCACCCCAGACTCACTCATCTATATCTTTATGGACCTTGCTTTGTGCACTGGTGCGCAGTCACGTTGGAACAGGAAGGGGCCATCCCCAAACTGTTTCCACAAAGTTGGGAGCATGAAATTGTTCAAAATGTCTTTGTATGCTGATGCCTTAAGAGTTCCCTTCACTGGAACTAAGGGGCCAAGCCCAAACCATGAAAAACAACCCCTCACCATAATCCCCCTCCACCAAACTTTACCCTTGGCACAATGCAGCCAGGCAAGTAGCGTTCTCCTGGCAACCGCCAAACCCAGACATGTCCATGGGATTGCCAGACAGAGAACCGTGTATCATCACTCCAGAGAACACGTCTCCACTTCTCTAGAGTCCAGTGGCGGCGTGCTTTACACCACTGCATCCGACGCTTTGCATTGCACTTGGTGATGTAAGGCTTGGATGCAGCTGCTCGGGCATGGAAACCCATTCTATAAAGCTCTCTACACACTGATGTTGTGCCAATCTGAAGGCCACACAAAGTTTGGAGGACTGTAGCTATTGACTCTCCAGACAGTTGGTGACTTCTGCGCACTGTGTGGTTCAGCATGCGCTGACCTTGCTCTGTCCTTTTACATGGCCTAAAAGTTGCTCCCACTTTGTTATAATGCAACTAACAGTTGACTGTGGAATATTTAGTAGCAAGGAAATTGCACGGATGGACTTACTGCATAGGTGGCAACCTATCACGGTACCACGCTTGAATTCACTGAGCTCCTGAGAGCGACCCATTCTTTCACAAATGTCTGCATGCCTAGGTGCTTGATTTTATACACCTGTGGCCATGGAGGTGATTGGAACACCTGAATCCAATGATTTGGAGAGGGGGGTCCAATACGTTTGACAATATAGTGTACAACAACTAAACAAAAATAGTCTCACACAGAACACATAGGTTATCAAATTTTCACAGAGGGTGCCCCTGTCAGCACCCTTCCACTTGGCATCCCTTGATCAGCTGATTGAAGCATCAGGTTAGAAAATCTTCTGCCGAATGGAGCTTGCAGCCAGTCAGTACAATGCAAAACACTCATAAACATTGATAGAGAAATCTGTTACATTTTCTTCATTCAGCCCGCAGGTTGAAGGAATGAATAAAATATAACCATGTATACCCTGCTTTATAATGGCTAATAACAGCCATGACTGAGTAGGTCTAAACTCCCCCAACTCGTACCTTGACTGAGTAGGTCTAATCTTCCCCAACTCGTACCTTAACTGAGTAGGTATAATCTCCCTCAACTCATACCCTGACTGAGTAGGTCAAACTAGAACTAACAACAAGAAACATGGACCAAGAAACAGAGGTGGAAGTTGTTCACATAGCATTCACACAATGCGAGCTCCCATTAAGTAGATTGCCAGAGTGACCAATAGGTCAGGGGACCCTGCAGTTAAGGTGGAATTTGTGACTGATATAACTGTACTGTGGTTGATCTGGCTTCTGATGGCATTGGCAGACAGTAAAGATTCTTGATCCAGAAGTGCATACTTTCAGTGGTGGGGATAAAGTGTGGGGAAAAAGCCCATCATGTACAATGTGTTATGAATAAGTCATGCATTATTTTTTTATGATTTCAGTCCAGAAAGGGGTAGCTTCGTCCTGTTTCATGTGTTTTATAAAACTAGCCAGTTCAATAACTGAAGTTGAAATTACCCATAGGTAAATAAGTGATGACTTCTTCATCTCCCCTCTCTTCCCCCATTTTCCAGGTCTGTGTAATAGAGTGTTTCAGTTGGAGAGAGCCTGAAAGGAAACAGTTACTGTGTATAGAAAAAGTATAATGCTCCATGAGACTGCTTAAATGTTTACTTATACTTGAGTATAATATAAAATAAAAAATGTTTATTGTACTTACATATAATAAAGAGTTTAATATAAATATATAAAAAAAATATAAAACATTTTTCCTGTTAACAATGCTGATTGTCTGGTTGATGCTGGTCTTAAAATGCTCAGTAACATGAATCACCAAAAAAGAGATTTTCTCTTATTTTGTACAATACACTATTCCAGTGTATGAGGAAAGTCCTACATATAAAATGAAACAAATAAAAATATCTAAAATATTAGAAAGTCAATCACCTTATCATACTTAGTTATTTTAATTAACAAGAAAATTACTTTTTTCTTTTTTACTATCTGTACAGTCCAGAGAAGATTTCCAAAATGAGAGGAATGGTAATTCAGATGAATACCGATACTGGGGATCCAACAACAAAAATGACATGAACAGATACAGCAGCCTGTCCATGCAGCCTGAGAGGGAATTTCTACATGAACGAAGCCTCAAACCTGCTGCAAATCTTCCTCTGAGATTTGGAAGAACATCTGATGACAAAGTAGCCAAAAGCATTCCCAATCTACCTCAACGGTTTGGGCGTTACTTATCTGGAAAGGCCAACATCCAGTCAGTGGCAAATTTACCACAGAGGTTCGGAAGATCACAGTATAGCAACCATTTTGCTCACTCCCTTGCCACATTACCACTGCAATTTGGAAGAACGGCGCATTCTGATAGACTACAATATGAAATTAATTCTTATCCTTTAGAAATGAAAAACCCAGAAGAAGACAGTGACAGGAAGGTCATGACAATGTAAACTGCTGTCATTTTGTCATTTTGTCATACAAAGTTGATAGGTTTGCCAGATAAGTTTCATTACATCCAGATTACCGAAAGCATATTTACTTTGACAATATTTATGTGTTTTAAGTTAACAGCAGATGACCTCTACCACAAAGCAGTACTCTAAATGTAACATATACTATGAAAACATATTACAGAGGGATTCCATCACCGCAGGATACAGGACAGAGACAGCCACACTGCTGTTTTTAATGCTATTTTTTTAGGGGAAACATTGCCAGGATAGGAGGCATATGTGTACAGTACATGTAAAAAAATGCCCAAAATTTTGTCGTGAAAGCTTACCAGCAGAAAGTATTTTGTTCAGGTAAAACCACTGATTGGCTGTCTCAGCTTAAGAGTTATATTTTGAAAGTACTCTCAAGTCTTCATATGATTATCACTGCTTCTGTGTTTTCAAGGTTGGCTCCCACTTGGGCGTATTTCAGCGTGTGGAAACACACTGAATAACGCCCTACGCCCAAACAAGTACAGGAGCTTCTTTGGGGCTTATTTCCACGCGTATCCATTGGTATTCCCGAGTGTGGCTCGGGGTAAACAAATCGGTAACCCCGAGCCACATTTGGGAATACAGCCTAGGTCTTACCTTGTCCGCAATTCCCGCTGTGTCCTCTGGCCGCTGCCGTCTTTTCCGGGTTCCGTCCCTTGCGAGCGTCCGCGTCGCAGGGGGACGGAACCGGCGGGAAGTTTGAAAGGTAAAAAAAAACGAAAAAAAGAGAGAAAATAAAGGGAATAAAAATAAAAAATCATACCACCAGGGAGGTATAAAAACGAGCGTTGAATGCGTGTTTCACTGAACGAAAAACGTGCTAAAAAAAGTGCTAAAAACGAGCTGAAAAAACGCACCTATAGTACGCCCAGGTGTGAACCCAGCCTTAGGGTAGTGTGGAAGTAAAAAAAATAGCTTAGGTTTCTTGAGTCTAGGTCCCCTTTAACTACATACTGTATATACAGAGGTAGCTACACAAGAAAAATACTATGTTGCAAGTATTGTGATTTTCCCTTCACATAACTTGCTACTCTCAACACAGGCTCATGGTAAATAGAGCCATGACTATAGTTACCGATTTCCATAGCTGAGACTTGCCCATTCCATGAAAGTATAGTATTGATGTAAGGTTTTTGTGGGTAATTGAATCATGTATTAGATTTTAAAAAAAGAAACATTTAAATATTTGCAAGCTTGTATAATATTTCTGAACAGATAACGCAACAAATATGTATTATTATTTAAGGGTTTGCAGGTTGAGGGAAAGTTGGAAAGGCAAAAACACAATTTTATTAAGTATAGGGGATATTACTATTCATAAGGGACAACTAGGACCCTAGTCTTAGTCTTAACTGTGCAACACGTGTGACATTAATATGTAATAGGAGAGTAACCGCAACAATTTAAATTGCAGTTGTTGCCAAGGTTTCAGGAGTGCTACATTTCAGATTAAACTATTCGGACTTCAGGACCCATTTCTAATGCAGCATTATGGCCCTACCATGGCCATACCAAAGCTTTATTAAAAAAACAATACCAGCACATTATAAAGCACAAAGCTGTGCAATACACTTTGCTGACTTCAGGACTGCAACGTTGAATTTATTCCAGTGAATAAAAGAAATAAAAAGCAGGGAGGAAGAGAGCCCTGTCCCAAGACCTCTCTCCTCCAATCACGATGTTCTCTCTACAGCGTTATGCAGAAAGAACTTCTTGGGACACTGCAAGCTATACACCACGGCCTGTATTTTATAATATAATTGGGAAACTGCAGGCGCTGCATGGATTAAACACTTTGGTATCCAGCAGATGATGATAGTAATATCTGCTCTGTTATAAATAGGCATTGACCATCAGATTGGTGAATCTATAGTCATTTGTTGTGGAGCATTGATTGGGTAGTGTGAGAGTAAGGTTCAAGATAAAACAGACATATCCAAAATACATTTAGAAAAAAAAAATAGCGAGGCATCACACATACTAAATTTCTTCTTTATTCCAACCTCATTTTTACTAGTAATTGTAGTTTGTTTCTGTTATGATTCTTTGTGAAGTATTTTTGGCAGGGTTAGTATTATTATGAATAGAATAGTTGCACCCTCAGTGTTCTAAAAACTCTCTCTTCTATTTTTAATTGTAGAAAAGACAAGCAATGACCTTTGAATATGAGCGGAATCTCCAGATGTAGCAGCTAGCAAATCGCCCATATGACCCATCATCTGTCCAACACTGCACTTCAGACAGCCAGATATGCACTCTTTGCACATATTAGTGAAATCAGCTTCACGCTAATGTATAACCTGCTTTGAAACCAGGAGAAAAGGTGATGAACATGCAAAGCAAAGAAATGCATGAAAACTGTGATGAAAACAATTACTTAGTTATGTAAATGAAAACAAAATTTCATTATTATACTGTAAATAAAATAATAGAAGAAGTGCATTAATTGTGTTAATTACATTTATTTAGCATTTTATGCAGTTTTATAGACAGTGGTGCTAAAAAAGAAAAGAAAAACACAGGAGAGCCGCTGTGCAACCCTCACAGTGTCAGTGTGCACACAGAAGCCCTGGGCCAAAATAGCAACAATTATATGGAAGGCTATTACTCCATATACTGTATATGACAATTAAAAAAACATAATTCAAGGGCCAATAATATGCCTGATAATGCCACTTTAGTCCTAATTTCGTGGCACCAAGCCCGTAGATATGGAGACCAACTCCCTCACCCAAATGAAATGCATTTGAATACCAAACAAGTAGGAGAGAAAACTCTGGTCTTAAAAATTAAACTCGGTATGGCCATATGATGACCTCAACTATATATACTAATATGTATATTCTGCCACCATAAGCAAACTCCCATTGTTGCCTGTGCTTGTAAGTTTGGTTTGGGTGCCAAAAATATCTGGATTTGCCATAGTTGGTTAGATGAGCACCTTATGGCAAACCTGAGAAATATCAGCCCAATAGTGTCTCGGCTAGAGGAAGGCCAGGTTGTCCCATCCTTAAGTGTATTGGCATTTGCATATTTCTTTTACTGTTGTTTATACTGAAAGCTGAACTTCTGGGGAAAAAAGATTTGCTCTTTCAGTGGGTCTCCCTTCCTAATGCCAGAAGTTAACTGCTGGTTTTGCACAGGGATGATACATTAGGGGATATACTTACCTTATTCCTCACTCTCTCAGAACCAGGCACTCTCCTCCACTGTCCAATGCTCGGGAACGTAGATAGGCCCTCGCCATCCTACCGTACAATAAAGGACTTATGGTCCTGTATTGTACAGAATAATGTCAAAGACATGTGACCAGTGGCTTCAGGGTATCGGTCACAGAAGGAGGAAGCTTTCTAGAGCAAGGAATAAGGTAAGTATTTCACCTTATTCATCATCCCCTAAGCAACTTTCCAGCAGATTTCTCCTGTTCAGCCCTGTAGGCTAAAAGAGAGAAACTTAGGCTCTGTTCACACATTAGCGCTAAACATGAAAAGTAATGCAATTCAAGGTTTGCTCTAATACAGGTAGTACTCTTCAAATGTTGTAATTAGGGATGGCCCGAAACCAATACTAGTATCAGTATCGGGGCCAATACAGGGCATTTTCATGAGTACTTGTACTTGTGAAAATGCCCCGACACATAGCGCCAATGCCGGCGTTTTATATTTTTAAATAGGTTCGAGCTGCTATACAAGTGATCCGTCTGGATCACTTGTATAGCACCCTGCATGGCCCCTCCCCTCCAAGGTCCGCTCCTCCCCTGCAAGCATTGTGCTCTATCTTCTGTATTGGATGGCAGGCTCATGAAGAGAGCCTGTCATCTCTGAATGATATCACATAGGGTCTTGTTAGCCCCTGTGAGATATCAATAGTTAAGTTGAGTTAAGTGAAGAAAAAAAAGTGATAAAAAGGTAAAAAGTATTAAAAAAATAATAAAATAAATTCAAATTAAATACATACAAATAAATAAAAATTAAAATAAAAACCAACCCCCACCCCGCATCTCCGTGGAAATAAACGCTTGTGTGTGCGTGCTCTGAGTGCTGCCTTATTACACTGTGTGCCATATTGTGGTAGTGGGGCAGTAGTGCTCTCTAACACACACAATGCACATTAAAGGGTAAGTTCACTTTCCCAATAATTTGGGAAAATGGAATTACCCACTTCAATCTGGTCAACTGACACCCCCCCACTATACCTTTTTCACATACTGTCGTCCAGTGCCGCCCTGCACTCGCAAATTGCAAGCACTCGTTGGTCAGCGGCGGAGTCAGGTGACCGCGCTGACCAATGAGAAGTGCTTCTTAGCACGGTCAAATGCGGTTTTGGTTAAAACTATTTTTTGTAGCAGGACAAGTATAATCATGGATTGAGTCACGGTTCTTTATAATTATAAAGGAACTGCCCTAAAATCTTTAGTCTGTATCATTTTAGAAAAAATGTCACGCCCCGTTAAGAAAAAGTATCGGTAATTGGCATCGGTGAGTACCTGAGGGACAGTACTTGTTCTTGGTCTTGAAAAAATGGTATCGGAACATCCCTAGTTGTAATGGTAAACAACTCATCAAAATTATAACACATTGTTTTGCCACAAATCCCACCAATTAGAGAATATATGATCAATCTGTATTAGAATGTTACATACAGTATGTGTAATCATTTATGTATGTTGTTAGTTCCAAAGGAAACAAAGGCATCAAACAAGATATTAAACTGTCAAAACACCATAAATTAGTTTAACGCCTACTGTAAAGCTTTAAAAAGTTGTGGTTTATTTACTAAGGCCAAATCACACAAAGTCCCCGCAGAAATTGCTGTGTCAACAGTTTGTAAACCTGTGGTTCAAGGCTTTAGAGGAAATGAATGCATACCTGTGGTTGTCTCCACTTCTTTCTTAACACTGGCTACGGCTCAGAATTAGGTGAGATTCTGTGGAACTAGTTGTGCACCAGACATTGGTAAAGAGATGTTTTCATTTACTTAGAGTACAGCTCTAAAGCGACATACAGCTAACACCTTACAAGCATCCTGGCATGGTGGCTTTACTACCATTTGCACCTCTTGGTGTTTGTTGTGCTATTATTATAAAGGCAATTACAGACATCCCAACTCTCCCGGATGCTCCGGGAGTCTCCCGCTATTGGATAGCAGCTCCCGGCCGCCCGGGAGAGAAACACTTCCTACCGGAAAGGTTTATCTGCTCGATCGAGCAGATAAACCTTTCCCTGCGATCGTTTTTTTTTTTTCTTTTCTGACATCGGGAGCCATGGCCCGACCATCAGTCAGAAAAGAAAAAAAAAGGCATACGAATCCATAGCTAGATTCCTATTGGCTATTGCACTTTGCAATAGCCAATAGCAAACTAGGTAATGTACCCGCCCACTGCTGCTGTCAATCAGCAGAGGGGGACATTAATTTTTCTATCAGGTCATCTTCTGGTGATTGAAAGCAGCAGAGGGCGGGTGCAATAGCTAGTTTGCTATTGGCTATTGCAAAGTGCAATAGCCAATAGGAATCTAGCTATGCATTCTTATGCCTTTTTTTAAATATTCTGACGACTGCAACTGTCAGAATACTAAAAACAAAATCAGAAAAAAACCTGCAGATAGCAAAGAAGCTATTGCTTCCTGTGCTATCTGCGATCATTTCAGGGGGGTGCTCTCTCCCAGCCCCCCTAACCCCCCTCCGCGGATGGGGGGGGCGTAGAGGGCACCTCCCTGAAATGAGAAGGACACCTCCCTGAAATGGCTTCTTTCAGGTTGGGATCCCTGCAATTACATCTTGCCCCCAACAGATAACACTCAGCGTGGACTACTGTGACAGTGCTCTTGATAGCCTCTACATTATCTAGTCGTAATGAATTCAGAAAGGTTTACACACAATTGCGATGAGGATCTTTATTTTCAGACATGTGACTGTTTCAACCTCATTGGATTCAGCTAAAAATAACTGTCACCTTTTTAAAGCAAGGCTCCTTATTCTGGTGTTTTATCCTTGTGAATTAGGGCTATTGCGTTTTCTATATAATGTTAACATTCTGATTGCACAGTTTCTTTAGATTTACCTTTAGATTTAAATTTAGATCTAAATAGCCATTTCATTTGTATTTTGCCATGTGGCCTTGCAGTTGTTGGCACAATTGTTGGCAAAATTAAAGGATATTCAGGGTCGGTTCATACCATGGCGGTATGTTGTGTTCATTGCACGATACCTACAATTTATGCATACAGTACAATTGCACAGAGTGATATTTATGGAATTGAATGGCACCCCAGTGGTACTGTGTGTTGCACTGTGCTGCAAAGCATGGCCACCAAGAGGTGCATTGGGGTACAATTCAAATGAATGGCAACGCAACACCCCTAGCACACGGTAATGCATTCTAGAAGCCCTGTACGATAGCCCGCATAAAACACATGGTAATGTTATGGTGTGACTGAGCCCTTAGTCTCAACACAGCTGTGCAGGAGATTGCACCAACTACACTGCTGGTTGCCATGGATACCCAAACACTGCCTGACCAGGACACTAAAGAGCTTCTGTGTATATGAGGTCTGTTTATTTCACTCCATTTTTACACGGTGGGGACGGGGGCTGAGGTGGGTGGGGGTGGATTATTAAGTATATCTAAATCCAAGAACAAAAATGTCATATGTGCCAGCCTATCAATCCTTAGATGGGGTTTCTTTTTCCAAGCAGTGCATTTTCAGTCCTTGAAAACTTCCTGTGTACTGAACAGAAGTGTCAAACAATGCTATCAGCCTTCCATGCTACCAAACACCTCACTTCCATGCTACAGAACACCTCCCCCTTCTTGTGATGCAGATGAGAAGAGGAGGAGCTGTTTGTAGTCCAAATCAGCCTAGGGTAACAACACTTTCCCTCCCATTATACAGTAAGCGTTGTCACCACTGGCATTTATAGTGTTAAAACAAATAGGGCAGGGGTGGGCAACTCTGGCCCTTCAGCTGTTGTGGAACTACAAGTCCCATGAGGCATTACAAGACTGACAGTAACAGGCATGACTCCCAGAAGCAGAGACATGTTGGAATTTGTAGCTAAAGCACAGCTGGGGAGCCAGAGCTGCCCACCACTGGACTAGGGGCACCTCTGGGCACACAGATTAAAATGCTGAGGGGCTGGTAGGATATCATGATGACCAATATGCATCAAATCTGAGACTAAAGGTGTCCATACACTGTATTGATTGTACAGTTGCTGTACAATCTCCCTAAGATTTGCCAAACCTATGCAATGTGAGGAGAAACCTAAACAATCCAACAATCCATTTTATTTGTATCCGATGAGGTTGGCCCTTGTACTACATAGTTGATG